GGTATTTGTTCGGAATAAGGGAAATGGATATCGAGAAAAAAGCCAGGAAAGTGCAGCGGACGACGTTCACAAAGTCGCTGAACAGTTTTCGGGAAAAGTGCGCCAACGCGAATACTTCCTTCGCAGAACGAACCGTAGCGTTACAACTGATGGAATCCCGAATGATGCAGCTGGAAAGTACGCAGTCGAAATACGTGGAATTACTAATTTCCTCGAATACAACCGAGGAGGACATCGAAAAAGAAATTGATTCCCACGAAGCGTACAAACAAGAGTATTTGATGGCAAGAATGTTACTCCTAGGATTAGACGATAATCGAGGCGCGTCTATAACCAGCGTGCACGCTAATGATAACATTGCACGCGTCGAAAAACCGTTCAAGCGACCGACGCTGGAAATTCCAAAATTTGATGGCAACATAAGTGCGTGGTTGAAGTTTTGGTCACATTTCCAGAAGATCGATAAAGATGCGACCATAACTAATGAAGACAAGCTCGCCTATCTGAAACAAGCGATGGAAAAAGGTTCGAAAGCAGAAAGTTTTGTAGAAGGTTTTCCGACTACGGCCGAAAATTACGCGAAGGCTGTTCACAGCCTAAAAAATCGTTTTGGTCGGGACGATCTCTTAGTCGAGCATTACACTCGTGAGCTGCTTTCTCTAGTATTACAGAATGCTAATAATAAAGGCAAGAAAGTCAATGTTGCGAGTATTTATGATAAAGTTTCCGCGCATGTCCGAGCGTTGGAGACACTCGGTATTAAAACAAGAGAGTGCGCGACTATGTTATACCCTCTCGTCGAGTCGTCATTGCCCGAAGAAATTCTGCGTACGTGGCAACGGGCGATGTCTGGCGGAGAAGCGGTAAGAGGGGACGACGGCGAAATCAAAGATCGGCTAACGAAACTGCTAGAGTTCCTGGAACTGGAGGTGGAAAACGAGGAACGTATCTACATGGCGGTCAATGGGTTTTCGATGCAGACAAGCGGCGACCGACAAAGCAAGGTAAAGGACACCAAGGGAAAAGGTGCATCCTCGGAAAATTTACTAACGGCAAGCGCTCTTTACTCGAGTGAGGTAAAAAATGTAAAATGTATTTTTTGCGGCGAAGATCACGATAACGCGGCGTGCGAGAAAGCTAAAAGAATGTCGCTAGATTCTCGAAGAAACTTGATTAAAGAAAACAACTGTTGTTTCAAATGTCTTAAACGTGGACATCGCGCGAGAGAATGTCGCGTAAAATTGAGTTGCGCGTGGCGTGGGAAACGGCACGCGATTTTAGTTTGTCCTTCGCTAAATAATTTGAGTAATGCGCATAAAACCGAGAAACCTGTCGACAACCACACCATGGAACAGAATCTCGCAAATTTTTGCAGTCTTCCTGATGTGTGTTTGCTAACGTTACGTGTTGTATTATACTCCGGATCGAAACAAAAAATTGTGCGCGCAGTGATTGACAACGGGTGCACGGGTACTTATGTTCGATCGGACTTAGCGAAATATTTAGGCTACCAGCTAGAGGTGTGCGAGAACCCGAAAATGTCGGGTCGGGTCGGGACGGGAAATTTTTCCGGGATCGGGACGGGATCCCGAAAATTTCGGGATTCCCGAAAGTATCGGGATTTCCGGGCATGCCTCGATTACCGCTACATTGCGACGCTTCCGGGAATCCCGATACGTTCGAGAAAATGCTCGGGATTCTCGAAAGCATCGGGATTTCCGGGCATGCCTCGATTACTGCTACATTGCGACGCTTCGATTCGTGTGACTTGATGTAAAGAAACTTGTGACAGCGTACACACTGTGCACGCCGTTAAGCAGTTCTCTTGCGTAGTTCGAAAAGCACAGACGTATTGAAAATCTCTGGTGATTTAGTTAAGGATTTAATTTATAAATTTTAAAGTAAATAAGAAAATGTCTAGTGATAGTGAAACTGAAGTTATAGCTGAAAGTAGTGAGCAAAATGTCACACAAAGAAAGAAATGTACGAAAAGCTTTGTGTGGGAGCAATTCGAAAAAGTCAATCAACAAGAAGCCAAATGTAGACACTGCCAGCGTGTATTAAAAACAAAATATGGCAATACCAGTGGCTTATTACGTCATTTGAAAAACATTCATTCAAATGTAAGCACAAATGTAAAAAAATACAGTGAATCGATAGAGAGGTTGCCATATTTAGAAAAAGATTGTACGCGAGCAAAAAGCATAACTAATGCCATTGCTCGCATGATGGCATTGGATTTGCAACCGCTTAGTATCGTTGAAGACAATGGCTTTCGACAATTACTTGAAGTTACCGAACCACGCTATAAAATACCTTGTCGATCCACGTTTTCGAGAGAAGTAATACCACGTATGTATGATGATTTGAGAAAGCAAATTGAAAACAAGATACATGCAGATATTGAAGAAGGTAATAGATTTCCTTATTTGAGGTGTAGCGGCTAGCTCGCGCAACAAAAGAAACATCTGGTGTGCAAATGCTAGCATGGTTTACGACAAGCAAAGTCGAAAAGGCCACTTTTGAGAAAGCCGTTTCTTAAGCGTTTTATTACTCGGCATGTTTTTCGTCGAAAGTCTCGAACGGCCTCAGTGGCATATTGCACATGTCATAAACCATGGATTTCCGAAGGGCTGCAAGGCCGAGTCAAGCGACTCTCGGCGGGTGACATCACCAGGCCTAGACCTGGAGGAAATTCCGCTGCATTGCCAAACTTCCGTTGACAGAGGTACCCCCCACCGAGTCGCGTCGCCTTCCTCAAAAAGCGCGTCAAGGGCGCAAGGAGTAGGCGGCGACTTCCGAATTGCAAAATGCCTAATTGGTTAACTTCGACATATCGGTTCAACCAATTAGGTGGCTGCAAACAGTTCGAAGGAGAAAAAGGAAAATGTAGAACTCAGTCTTCGCCACGACTTGGAGTCGACAACACTGACAATAAAGAACACAAGGGGAACTACGGCGATTTATTTAAAACCTAATTTTATCCTAACACGCAACCCCTCAGAGGTATTATTATTTTTTATTATTTGTATTGTGTTCTTCATTCTTGTGATTTTCATGTATGGAATTGGCAGACACTATATTAACGTTCACAACTGATGGATGGAGTTCACGAAATGTAGATAGTTATTTGTCAGTGACATTGCATTACGTGACAAAAGACTACAAAATATGGCACTATATGCTAAATCTATGCCATTTAAAACAATCGCATACTGCGGAAAATATTAGAAATACGTTGCATTCCTGTTTAACTATGTGGAAATTACAGGAACTTAATAAACCATTAATATTTATAACTGACAACGGCCAAAATATTGTAAAGGCAATAGAAACCTGTACAGATTGGAAACGAATACCTTGTTTCGCTCACTGTCTACAATTGACAATAAAAAAAGCAATGAGAAAATTTCCCTTGTATACAATTATAAACAAGAAATGCAGAGCTATTGTTGCTTTTTTCGCAAAGTCAACATCCGCAAAAGAAAGATTTTTGCAAGTGCAGTTACAAGTGAATCCAAATGAGACGCCTTTACGGTTACTGCAAGACGTGGACACTCGATGGAACTCCGTGTATATGATGTTAAAAAGATTAATTATATTACGAAGATCATTGAGTTTGATCTTGTGCGAAAAAGATATGCCTCAAAATTTATGCAAAGAAGAGTGGGAATTCGCAGAAACATTAATAAATGTATTAGAACCATTGAAAGATGCGACCGAATTAATGTGTGGGGAAACATATCCGACATTGTCGCACTATATTCCCATGTATATTGGATTAATCAACATATATTCGACATATGAAACGCAAGACAAAATAATAAATGAAATGTGTCAACATCTGTGTATTGAATTACGAGTAATATTATTTTACTATTGAGCTGAAGATAAGTTATTTGCTAAAACAATTCTAAAAGTTATGTAAAATATAATATATTTTCAGGAACGTTTCGAGCATACTAAAAAAGATAACATCTTGGTATACGCAATGTTACTGGACCCACAATTTAAGCATCGTCTTTTGCAACCTGAAGAAACATATGAAACAATTAATTGCTTGAAAGAGAACATTGCGTTTGATACTGACACTAATAATAACGAGCATACATCAGATGCAAAATATAATGATAATGGTACGTCCTTAAAAGTGTACATAAATCAGTAATTTTAGAAATTCCAAAATGCGTTTATTTAAATATTTAAATATTTTATTCTATAGATGAACCAAAATCAAAATTGTTCCGATTTTTTTATGACAAACTTGGGAATAAAAAGCTAAATACAAGTAGCAAAAAGGATAACTTTAACCAACGTAAAGATGAAGAAATCCGAATATATTTCGAAGAAGATAATATACCGAGAAAGAGCAACATCACAAGTTGGTGGGAAAAGAATAGTGGAAGGTTTCCTATATTAGGAAAGGCAGCACGACGATATATGGCTATCCCTGCCACCCAAGCAACAAGCGAAAGACTGTTCTCCACGGCTGGAAATATCGTCACACCTACTAGAACCAGACTATTATCTGAAAATGTAGAGAAGTTGGCTTTTTTACATGAAAACTCAAAATAAAATATCATAATTATTACATATTCGGTGCATTAATTCCACTTAATTTTCCAACATTTATAACTTTATACTAATGAAAATGATCCCAATACTTTTGAGAATCTCGACACTTTCGAGAATCTCGATACTTTCAGGAATCCCGATACTTTCGAGAATCTCGATACATTTAGGAATCCCGATACTTTCGGGAATCCCGAAATTTTCGGGATCCCGTCCCGACCCGACTCGACCTCTTCTCGACCTGTCCCGACCATCGGGTTCCCGATATTTCGGGTTCTCGCACACCTCTACTACCAGCCCATAGGCAATAGAGAGATTGTATTATACATAAATTTTTCGGGGGAGCGAGTTCGGAAAATCAAATGCATAACATTTTTACGGTGCGCATGAAAAGTATCGACGGGGACTATGCCTGTAATTTCCAAGCCATGGATCAGCGTGTCATTTGCGAAGATATTGCACGCATTGAAAAGGCAGATTGGTTTAAAGAGCTAGAGCGTAAAAATATTTCTTTATCTGATTTATGTTCGACAGAGGAAAGCGGCGATGACTCGATTGCCCTTTTAATAGGCGCAGATATTTTCGGTAAGCTCTTAACGGGAAATAAGTTCGATTTGGCGAACGGACTCACTGCTCTAGAAACCAAGTTGGGCTGGACAATTTCAGGCAAAGTCCCGGCGAACGAGCGAAAGGACGCTGGAAGCACAGCCGTCTCAATGTTTATGTCAGAAGCGAAAATATCCGAACTGTGGAGTTTAGACGTTTTAGGCATAAGAGATCCAATCGAAAAATCTGATAGGTTTTTAAGAGAACAAATAGTAAAAGACCATTTTTTGAAAACGGTTCGATTTCAAGAGAACGGCCGTTATTCGATATATTTACCGTGGATGGAAGGCCACGCCCCTTTGTCGGATAATTTCAATTTAGCGAAAACAAGAGTAGAAAAAACCGCGAGGAAATTAAAAATCGAAAAATCGTTTGATAACTATACCAAAGTGTTTGAAGAATGGCGCGATGAAGAAATCATAGAGTTAGTATCGAAAGTTGAATTGAACATGATATCGCATTATTTACCTAATCGCCCGGTTATAAAAGTGGGGAGTACAACGGAAATACGACCGATTTTTGACGCTTCCGCTGCCGAGAAGGGCAAACCCTCGTTGAATAACTGTCTTGAGAAGGGACCTAATCTCATTGAGTTAATTCCAGCCGCTTTGCTTAGATTCCGGGAACACGAAATTGCACTTTTGGCAGACATTCGGAAAGCCTTTTTGCAAATCGAAATTAATAAGAAAGATAGAGATTTTTTGAGATTTCTGTGGTTTGAAGACGGAGAACTTAAGTCATTCCGGCATAGACGGGTCGTTTTTGGCCTCACTTGTAGCCCGTTCTTGTTAGGAGCCGTGCTTGAATTGCATCTGTCAAACGTCTTGCAAAATATAACAAATAGGAAATGGTCAAGGGAGACAATTGGAAAATTGGCCAAGTCATTTTACGTAGATAATTGTCTTACAAGTGTCAGATCGTCGGAATAGTTAGATTTGTTTATATCAACAGCAAAAGAAGTTATGAAAAAAGGAAGTCTTGACTTACGAGGGTGGGAGTATACCCACGACTTTAGCGAAAAACAAACGACTTTAGTGCTCGGTCTTTTATTTAATAAAACACACGATACTCTTTCGATTAACCCAGCAGTTTTGGAAAAATCTAATGTAGGCCTAATTAGTAAAAGAGCGATTTTATCTATGGCGCACCGAGTGTTTGACCCAATGGGATTTACTTCCCCAGTAACATTGTTACCTAAATTATTATTAAAAGAGTTATGGAAAATCAAGACGGAATTGGATTCACCGGTCGATAGCGAAACTCAGCAGAAGTTCATTAATTGGCTTGAACAATTATGTTATTTGAAGGAGATAGCTATCCCTCGAAAACTCGGCACTGGAGACGTTTCTCTCCACACGTTTTGCGATGCGAGCCAAGTTGCGTATGCCACGGTATCATTTTTACGCGTAGAAAATGAAAAGGGTGTCGAACTGCGTTTCATAGCGGCAAAAACAAGGATAGCTCCAGAGAAAGCGACTATTCCACGCTAAGAGCTTTTGGCTGCTTCAATCGGGAGCCGACAAACGCGCGAAATTATAGAGGCTCTAGAATACGATAAGGTACCGGTCTTTTATTGGTCTGATTCGACGACAGTATTAGCTTGGCTGAATCGAGATAGTCAATGGGGTGTTTTCGTTTGGAATCGTGTTCGTGAGATTCGAAATCTGTCAAAGTCCGGAAAGTGGCGATATGTGTCAGGAGAAATGAACCCTGCGGACCTTCCCTCACGTGGTTGTCGTGCGAAGGAACTGCTCGACTCTCGCTGGTGGGAAGGGCCTGACTGGCTCCGCGGAGATCAAAATAGCTGGCCGGAGTCAGCAGAGGATTTTGATGAAAAAGAAATTCAAAGGGAATTAAGAAAGTCAATTCAACAAGCTATGTTTAGTAAGGAAAGTCAAACAGATATGAAGATAGTAGAGCGGTTTTCCTCTTACACTAAACTAATCAGATTTTTCGCCATAATGTTAAGATTTGTTAATTTTAAGCGCAATATTTATACGGATAGAGGCAAGAGATTAGCGTACCAAGAAGTTCACCGAGCGGAGGTAAAATATTTGAAATTCGTGCAATGAAAAACGTTTCAATTAAAGAAAGATCCTCGTTTGGCAAAATTGCAAGTTTTTCTACACACTGATGACCTTATACGCTTGAAAACAAAGATTTCGGAGCGTGATGATCATTTTTCATTTTTATATCCTATTGTTTTAGATTATAAGGATAAGGTAGTCGAATTGTTGATCCGAGAGACACATGAAAATATGTGTCATGCAGGTGTACAAAGCGTGATGTGTCAACTGCGAGAAAGATTCTGGATCTTAAAAGCAAGAAAAACGATTCGGACTGTCATAGAGAAGTGCGTCACATGTAAGCGATTCGGCGCTAAGGCAATGCAGGTAGATCCAGCCCCCCTGCCACTACAACGTGTTAGGGATGCTGCAGTGTTTGAGATAACGGGAGTTGATTTTGCCGGGCCATTGTTTTTACGCGGACGGCAGAAGGCTTGGATCTGCTTGTATACCTGTGCAGTGTATCGGGCGGTACACCTTGAACTCGTGACATCCTTGTCGACACTAGAATTTTTGGGCAGCTTTCGTCGTTTTATTGGACGTCGCGGAAGGCCTGTTATTATGTACAGCGATAATGGGTCAAATTTTGTAGGCGCGAACAATTTACTTGAGGACGTGAACTGGGATACCATTTCTCAGTATAGCTGCGCACAACGTATCGAGTGGCGATTTAATCCACCTACCGCCGCGTGGTGGGGTGGATGATGGGAGCGACTAATAGGCATGCTTAAGAATATTTTGCGGAAAGTTTTAGGAAAATCATGCCTCACGTATGAGGAGATGTGTACGGTGTTATGCGATTGTGAAAACACTTTGAATTCTCGCCCTTTGACGTACCTCTCCGACAAAACGAATGACTTAAAACCACTGACACCAGCTATGTTTTTACGCGATGTAAAAGAGTCAGAAACACCCGATCTTGATATAATTAATCAAGTTGATCTCAAGTCTAGGTACAAGTATAAGCAAGAATTAATGGGACACTTAAGACGTCGTTTTCGCAAGGAATATCTAAGCCAACTTGTAATGAAAACTCGCACTAAAGAATCACGTGAACTTAAGAAGGGTGATGTCGTTCTCGTAGGCGATGCCAACCGTAAGCGGCTAGATTGGCCTTTGGCCCGTATTGAAGAGCTGATCGAAGGTAGGGACAACAAATGTCGGGTAGCTGTTGTGAAAATGAGCACAGGAAAATTCAAGCGACCGGTGCAACGCATGTACGCTTGAAATTTCTGAGTATATGGACGACAGTAATGATATTCGAGAAAAGTTGAAAACGAAGGTCAAATGTGAAGCTGTCAAAGAGAAATCGGTTTGAAGTGAGATGAATGAAAATTGCGCTGGTACGGAGAATAGAACACGAAGCGGGCGTATCGTGAAAAAACCAGACCGGTATCAATCTTGAACATCTGTAGCACGGAAAGAATGGTGTGTTGAGTCAAGGACTCAAGGTGGGAGGATGTGAAAAATGCATAGATATGGGTAATCGCGTTCCTTTATTTTTTGGCAACGCCGCTGCGGGCCCTTCCCCCCGGCGAGACGAGAGGCCTCGGCCGTGGCGATGGGCAGTTGGAGAATCGAAGCCGACGTGTTACAGGCAAATAAATAAAGTGTTTTTCTCCTCAAATAACGGCTGTTTTTCCCCCTGTGGTTACCTATCGCCGACCGCGGTCCTATTTTAAACAACCTCACATAAATAAGATTCCTAAAGATTGTAACACGAAGACAATTAAAGCTGCTATCGAAACATGGACGTACATCAACGACAATCACTGGCTCCATATTCACTATTATTTGGAACCTACAAAACAATCAAAGAAGAACATAAGTCACTATGTACCGCCAATTAGCATACTTACAAGTGACTGTTGTTTCGTTGACATGAACAATATAAAAATTAACTCGCTTCAATTAAAACCAATAAAACTGACAAATATAGATTTATCCGACTTTAAGTACACTAATAAAAAACTAAATGAATTCGATCAAATTCTAACTAATAGATTGAAGGAGCCATTTATTATTACACACACACGATGGTATACTATTGCATTAGGAATAGTGGTTGCCATATTATTTATTATCATGTGTGTAAACTGCTGCCGCTGGTGCAACTGCTTCAAGATTCTGCGCCGATGTTTTTGTTTCACGAAGAATCCAAACAATGGAGAGACCATACCGCCAGTGATCAAGAATTTTATAAATTGCAATTTTGATTCAGACATTCGTAGCGAATACCGAGAGACATCAAGGGATGTAGTCACATACGACCCCAGCAGAGAAGCAGCACGTATCAACAGAACAAGACAATTCTCTGATGAAGAGGAAAACGTACAAGACTGTACTCGCCCAGCTCTGGCAAGGAGTAGTATTTCAACGGAAAAAAATTTCAGAGTAAAAACACGCAAAAGTACTACTCCAATTTAACATACTTAATAAACTTTTGCCTTATATAATAGTGTTTTAGGTTACGTAATATCCAATTCAAATTTTTGTATTAAATTCTAGTTATAAATACTGAATCCTAAATTCTAAATATTAAATTTTAAGTTCTAAACATTAAATTCTAAATCCAAAATCCTAAATACTAAATTCTAACTACTGACTATTAAATTATTGGGTTAATCAATTTTTCTATGGGGAAAGGAAACTACTATTAAGTTAGACATAAGTTTCAATTTTCATGTTTTCTACTATTTTCTACTATTTTATTAGAATTCTATATTCTATATTGCCACTTGTATTACTCGCTGTTTCAAGTAATCCGTATAGTTAAGTAATTAAATGTTATTTTAAGAAATTTTTTTTGATTAATTTATAAGCGATTATTTTAACTCTTAACAAACATTGTATTATAGTAACACGCAACTCTATGCTGCGAATTTTAGATGTAGTTTGTAAATTGAATCCTACGTATTCAATTTTTTTTTGGTGGGGAAGGTGTTGGAAGACCAGTCCTCTGTTTACTATCTGTATCTATCCTGAGTCACAATACCCTGCCGTCAAATAGCCAAATTCCGCAAAAACATCTTAGTCAGCGTGCTGCGCTGACTAAATCGCTCAAAGTACAATTTCGTGCAAAGATCATCTTCCATCACCTCCGTCGCTAAGAGCTCGCCCTTCCCCATCGATTTACCAGGATATAGAATATATGAGCCGCTCAATGCACACATCGATTAACTCCACTTTTTGAAAAATCTTAAATTTAAGTGTCAAAGCCCTTGGTATAGTCATAACTTTTTATATTTATAATAACTTTCCTGAATAATAAAGATTAGCACCGTTAAATGGCAAATTTTTTTGGCCATTGAATAATAAGTAATTTATTTCAGAAGCCATTTCGATTAACTCCATACTCTAATGTAAATCGTTTCAGTAACGCTGTATCTGTTCTGGCCGTGCATCGACGCTTATTTGTTTTTAAACAGCCGAAGATGCTCTCTCCCTCTCAATAATATTCGTAACAAAATCGCATCGGTAAACAGATAAAAAGAAGCACAATGCAAACGGTAGTTAGTATAGCAGTGATCTCGCACGCTGAATGTTACTGTGTACTTCTTAGTCTTTTCAACATTACTCCCAGATTGTTTTTAAAGAAATAAATATTATACCGTTATAATCAAGATGAGTGAGACTAATAATGTGAGTGAGGAAAGCAGTGATGATTCTTCAATACGATTTATCAACAGAAAGTCTGGTCCAAGAAGACGTTTATCGTTTTCCTCGGATTCATCGGATTGCAACAGTACAAACCCAACAAACACATTGATTGGGAGGAAAAGAAGTCGTAATCCTGTTAAATGGATACGAAATTTACAAAAGCATAACAGGATAAAAGGTTTGGCATACAGGAATAGGGGAGG